TCCCTACTCTTGCATAAGGTATCACACCTTCATGTAATCTCTCTCCAATTGACCCTTGAATTGTACAAAAATAGAAAGAATTATTTTACATGTATATCAAGGTATACATGCTGGTGCACATAATGTAACACCTCGAACTCTTTTTCATATTATTATATTATTTTTAAATTAAAATAAGCTCGAGGTGCTACCAAAACGTTTCTCTATCTAATTTAAGCGGACATATATCGAAAATACTCGATTTGAAATTATTAATTTAAAATTTAACATAACATATCGAATGCTTAAACAACATATTAAATAACATGCATACGATATTCTTCAAATAAAAGTGGACAATTATCTTTCTAGAAAATTTACTTGACGACCCCATTAGCATCGCTCTGTCAATCTTCCATGCGTCCACACGACCTGTTCTCATCTGAAAATATTGTAAGAGTGAATATTTTGAAAACACTCAGTAAGAATGCGTACACATTCTCATTCACATGATATAAATATAAAACAGACATAACATACCAACATTTTTTAGATTTAGAATTCAAGGAATTTCTTAAGAATCCTCATATCCCGTAGGATTTAACATATTTTCTTTGAGCTGGCGATCCATCCCGAAAGATTTAACTTCTTTGCAATAGACTTGAAGGCCTTATAGTATCCCATACCAGAATTTACATACATATCAAGAAATAAGAATTTACCACTTGCATGGTGTATTCTTACCTCAATTATCACTAAAATTCTAAAATTGTGACTTAAATTGATTGTATAAAAACAAGGAAACAGATTTTTGTTTGAAAATGAACTTATACATTTCTTGAGACAAAACATGTTCACCTTAAAACCTATATTTATAATTTTGAAATGTAACTCCCAATCCAATCAAAGGACTTCAGTTCTAAAATTATTCAATTAAAACGTTTTTGAAGATAAATTAAAAATTTATGAGTTTAGTAAACTTAATTGTCATTATAAACAGCATTAGTTATTTAAATTCTAATATGACCTTTAATTTTCAAAGGTAACCATATTCTATTCCCAATTTTTATTTTTTTTTTTGAAATATTATAAAATATACTTTCTTTCTTATTAAAAAAATTTGGGGTGTTACACCCCTTCCCTCTTAAATTAATTTCGTCTGCGAAATTATCTTATTTAGTCGATTTCTCCTCTTTCTAGTGTCTAGATGAGTTCTATCCATGTATATCATAAAACATTCAATTATGTTCTATCTTTGTCAATCAACTTATACATTCTGCTCTTGTATCTTTAATAAAATTACTAGTCACCATATCTTCATGTACAAAAATAATTTGCGTAACACATTTCATTCTAACATTAACATCATAAGCATTTCATGGAATCAAGCTTATATAATACGTGAATCATGCTTGAAAATAAACTTAAACATAACATTGTCGTTCATACCTTGGGTTCATCGGACGGTAGTAGATTGACGAGAGCTAAACACCATGGGTCTTATTTTAAATATTTGGTTAGTGAAAATCTCATACGGAAGTAAAAATATATAAACAAGTAGACAAGTACTCACCATAAGTAGAAATCATTTTTTCAACGAGTTATATTGAAACCACTAGAGTAAAATTATTTAATCTACTTTAGAAATTAATTACGTTTTTTTTTTACCAGAAAACTATAATAATTAAACAATAAGCACATATTTTATCCACTTCCTAAATTTGAAGTGGAAGAAGAATCAAAATTCAGTGTCTATCTAATTTGAGAATTAGAAACAATATTAAATAATAAATGTAAAATTTTTAGCAATATAGAGAACCAAGATCACCGGGGTAATTTCTAAGCACTTTATTTGAAAGGTGATAGACATTATAGTTTAAACATTAAATAACCAGTTTCCCTGGTTTCACTTAAAACACAAGGCAATCCAAATGAAAAAGTCTAACTTAGAAATACGACAGATTGCAAAACACAAATTTCATCTCTTTTTGTACAATTGCAATAACAAACTAGCGCTCACTTCACTTCAGCAAATTCTTAATTCTAGGGTAGTTAAAAGTTAAAACAGATTACAGATGCAAGTAAAATGAGCCTACCAGCGGTTTTGAGCATTAAAAATTTCGGAATTTGAAGCAGCTAATCCATTGAATCAATTATTATATTTTTTGTTTTCTACCCAAAATTTCATTTTTTTTTTTAACATACAAACCACTAAATAAAATAAATTATCATTTTAAGGGAAAATTTATACACATAAATCACATTTGACCATGATTAAGAAATATATATACTTTTTTAAAAAAAATGACGAGTCTACAGAATCGACTAAACTCATGCTCTGATATCATTCTGTAACGCCCCGAACTCTTTTTCATATTATTATATTATTTTTAAATTAAAATAAGCTCGAGGTGCTACCAAAACTTTTCTCTATCTAATTTAAGCGAAAATATATCGAAAATGCTCGATTTGAAATTATTAATTTAAAATTTAACATAACATATCGAATGCTTGAACAACATATTAAATAACATGCATACAATATTATTCAAATAAAAGTAGACAATTATCTTTCTAGAAAATTTACTTGACAACCCCATTAGCATCGCTCTGTCAATCTTTCACGCGTCAAAACTACTCGTTCTCATCTTAAAATATTGTAAGAGTGAGTATTTTGAAAACACTCAGTAAGAATACGTACACATTCTTATTCATATGATATAAATATAAAACTAACATAACATACCAACATTTCTTAGATTTAGAATTCAAGGAATTTCTTAAGAATCCTCATATCCCATAGGATTTAACATCTTTTTTTTAACCTGACGGTCCATCCCGAAGGATTTAACTTCTTTGCATTCGACCCGAAAGCCTTATAGTATCTCATGCCAGAATTTACATACATATTAAGAAATAAGAATTTACCACTTGCACCGTGTATTCTTACCTCAATTGCCATCAAAATTCTAAAATTGTGACTTGAATTGATGGTATAAAAACAAAGAAACAGATTTTTGTATGAAAATGAACTTATACATTTCTTGAGACAAAACACGTTTACCTTAAAACCTATATTTATAATTTTGAAATATAACTCCCAATCCAATAAAAGGAATTCAGTTTTAAAATAATTCAATTAAAACGTTTTTGGAGATAAATTAAAAATTTATGAGTTTAGTAAACTTAATTATCATTATAAACATCATTAGTTATTTAAATTCTAATATGACCTTTAATTTTCCAAGGTAACCGTATTCTATTCCCAATTTTTTT